GTGAGGAAATTGTGTCGGCGAAAGGCGAAATACCCAAAAAGAAGTTTGTAAAAAAATGAATCCGCCTCAACAACATAGAACTTATCTACAACTTTTTTTACTTGTTTGCAGATTTATGTTAACGGCCATTTATTAATAATATTTTTAAAGTTTCTGCAAAATTTCAGAATTTTCAAGGTTTAGCGGCTACTCTTTCTTCTAAACGTTCAATTTTCTAAACTTTCACTTAAAATACTGATTCGATTATTACAGTAAAATAACAATTCGTTTAGAAGCTACAGCAATTTAAGTATTCAAACTTTCGATGACTTCACCCACTCTTAACAAGACCAGGGCGTCAGTAAGCCTTCAAAGCGCCCCCTTCTGGCAAAATGCGGAACTCAAAAATGACTTCCAGAATTTTCTCATGGTCACTTTAGTGATGAAAATTTTTGCCCCAAATTTCCAAACCCAACACTTTCCGAGATAGCCAGTGGCCACTTTATGGTCAAACACCCTGTATATTGGGGTCAGTGACTACAAAACGCGAAGATCAAAGATTGTAGTAGATTCTATTGAAGGCATTCTTGAACAAACTATCTGTTAACCCCTTGTGTGAACCAATAGCGCTACGCGGATGACACGGTGCTGTTTGCAGACACACAAGTATTGAAACAGCTCATAGAATTTGTTGCTAAAAGAGCAAAACACTGACAATAAAATGAGAAAACACCCGGTTGGTTCAACCAAATCGCATTGTTAACCACGCAGAAGAAAATGGAGATAGAGAAGGCTGCTGACCAAACAAGACCAAGTCAGTTGAGTACTTACCTGGCATTCTGAGTCGGCGCATACATTGCCTATGGCCAACAATCCCGAGTTTCCAGTGGTGCCACAGAACCGACAAATTCCCGTTATTCCCGCTGCTTTAGTTCGCGCGCCTCCATCCCGATACTCCACTAGGGCTTTGAGCGTTCTCGCGTCCGCCAAAGCTACATTGAAGCACATTAATCCAACAAGTGGACAGTTTGAGCTGAAAGGTGCTCACCTAGAAGCCAGAAGAGTTTGGTCCGGCCGCATCCCTCATGCAGCTCCACCTTAATGGCCTCCTCCTCCTCCTTGCAGACCTGCAATTGAGACCTCACCAACAGTTAACTCTCTTGGGAATATTCTTGTCTTCACCTGTCTGAGGTGCGCCCTAGTTTTGCGATGTAAGTGCAAAAATCGGTCACAATCAGCGCATAGATTTCCGCAAAGGTTGCATTGAATCATCGCAGTGGTTTCGCCATCGTCGTGATTACTGCACATTGGGCGAGGAGGCATTGGTTGGCCTTCCGCTTTACTCCATTGCCCTTCACGAGGAAAACTGTCAAAGTATATGAGGAGTATAAAAAAAGGTCTCCTACCTGACGAAAGCCGTTCCACATGATCCTTATCCAGAACACAAAGCGACGCCAGCGCCAACCAAAGCGTTGGAGTTTTCAGGCAGGTGCTCGGCGATCTCTGCTCCTCACTCAGACAAGTGAGGTTTAAAACATTCTCCGCTATGGCTCCTTTGGTGATGTTCGCCCACACATCAGACATCTTCCCCTAAACATTAGGATCATTCCTCCTGTTCAACTAGAGCATCTCAGGTCTCACCGCTGACATATCAGTGATGAGCTGAATCATCACTTCCGATAGCTTCCGATTGGTCGAGCCTCTCAACCACCATCTGAGCCCCATGTCATCAGAGGCGTCCAGGCAGGAGCCCAATGTGACGGTGCTGATTTCCTTGCTTGCGCCGCCACTGCCCGACTTACCACGCATCTTCACTTGCAAGGTAAGCGTTTTGGCGATGACGCTCAGGAATATATCCAGAATACCCGGCCTAAGAACACAACCTTTGTACAGGAACACTCAGATGCTCCCGATGACTTACTTGCTAATTTCAAACTTGAATGAATTCGCATCCTTGTTCACCACGGTGACAATGTTGAAGTCTTTTGGTGGTAAGCTGGACACGCCCACCACTTTGGCGAAAAACTCTGGAGTGATTTCCGGGAGCATCCTCCTAAGCAACGAGGTTACCTGCATCCGGAATACCCCCCTATTGATGAGTCGGCTTTGAGTAAAACCACTTACTTGTCGTTGGACGCGAGCGCTTCCTGTATGAAGCAGCGTGAGTAAGTCGCCCAGCAATCCGCCTTGATGGGACAAGTAGGCTCTGCCCACTGAGCTCCCTGATAGAGCCAAGACCATTGAGAGCATTTCAAAGCAGTAAGTGTCGGAGCTTTTGGCTATGTCCGAGCTGCTGGTGGAGGAGACAGCGGAAGCTCCGCTCAGATTCGCCTCCCATTCGTCGCGCACCCTCTCTGTCTCCTTGCGAATTGCTTGGACTATGTGAACGGTTACCTGCAAAGGTTTGTCAGATGGCAAACTACGGAAGTTGGAGAGCTCGGTTTCGTACCTGCTTTTGCAGGTGGGTGAGCTTGCTGCGACTGAAGAGGATTCCCACCATGTGCTCCCGAAGATCGTTGCTCTCCTCCAGTGGCTCAGTTCCCTCACTTGGCGAGAGATTGTTCTCGTTGTTGGACGGAGGCCCCTCTTCGCCATGCAGCAGTTTGCCAAAAACTTGAGCTGAAAAACCGTGATTCTGCCACACTTTTTATGTAAAACACGCAATCTTCTCACCTGTGATTAGTCGAAAGACTCTGAGGGTTTCCGACTCGCAGTTGCGCTGCTGGATGGTGGCCGCACTGTAGAGTTTCCCCACTTTCAAGCAATCGCCCTCGACTTTGCCTAGAATGCGTATTTGGCGCAGTCGGACGGAATTGTCGGGACCTTTCAGCTCCAAGCGCAGCACGTTGTCTGATGGTTCTGCCAGGCAGGAGAAACTAGTCTGGGAGTGAGTGGTAGAAAAGCTACTCACCAGTTATGGGGCAATTAACCCATCCGCCCAGCAGTCGCGTTTCCACTTCCACTGTCCGCCACTTCACTAGTTCATCAGTGTTTTGCCCAGACAGAAATGTTATGGTGGAGATCTTGTTCTGTGGAGAAACCAGGGTTTCACCATCCTTATCGGTTTCTTCCTCTCCATGACTTACCCCAAGATCCCTGCAGTTGTCCACATGGACGCAGACCAACACCGGATGGTGTCCATGTGCGAAAACTACCGTGATGCTCTTCGTTTTGTTTCTGTCTTCATCGCCACTTTCCCAGAAGGTTTCCGTTGAACCATCCGTTAAGCTTCCGACCATTGCCTGTCGACTGGACGCCCGAATGTCCACCAGCTGAGTGAGATCCTTGAGACACTCCACTGAGGCTGTGGGTTGAGTGAACGCGCTCTCGTGCATGGAAACCTGCAGCAAACCACCAAAGTCACCCTCATCCCGGCCTGCTGTTGCAACTGCTTGCCGTAAAATCCTCCATTTCTTCGCTCCTGGACAGGATCTTGCTGATGTTGCTGAACACCTGCGAGCGGTGGAGGAAACTGTGATCGGCAGGAGCGAACCTCAAGCCCCAGCAGCGCACGGCGATTTGCTGGAGCGGCGACCCCATTGGCAGCAGAATCATTATTTGGGCGATGGTTTGGAGGAGGGCATGAAACGTTCCTGGTAGCGGATGCACCGCTTCACCTGCTATGGAAATGTCCGATAGGGGATGTTCGCAGACATTCAAGTCCTCCTCCGATTTCTTCGGCGGTCGATTGTCCTCCTCCGATTCCATCTCCACTTCTATGGGAGTCAGCGACGTTACGAACCACCAGAGGAGATCATGCAGGCAAATTGGCTGCGTGACTGAGCGCAGCAGCCAGTTTAGGGCCTGCATTGCGTAGACTCTACACATAGCTTTCCTGCACAGATTTGAGGACAGTTGCCATCACGTCCCTCAACTGTTGAACATGGAGGACATTCAATACTACCTCAGGGCTTGTTTCATGCAATTCCTCAAAGAGTCCAGATCGTGTTGCTGGACCACAAACTGCAAAACGGGCCTTTGGAGCAAATGCAAACTCTCGCGGTCCTCGGCCGGGTCGTTTTTCACAATGGAGGAAACCTGCTCTTTGGGCAGCAGCCTTTGAAGGGCAGGCGATGGGTTGCATAGAAGCGACGAACCTCCATCTACAATGCCAGCTTTAAAAGCCCTCCTCAACTGGAGAAACTCGAAACTTCACCTCCAGCCAGTTCGGAGTTGCTGTTGTTTCGCCGCCTCATCATTATAATCCTACCATCGTATCCAGTTTTGGCCCATGGAATACCATTCGTTCCCATTGAAACTGATCGATGGACTCTCATTCCTTTGGCTGCATCTGGCTCGGCTTCGGATAGAGAGGCTTCAGAGAGCGGCTGTAGGGAAGATATTTTTAGAGGGTGATTCACTAACACATAACCCTGTATTTTGAGTCTCCAGCTCCGGATTTCCCGTTCGAAATGAACATCTATGTATACACCTATATGTATATATGTACATTGCAACTCACTCTTTGCCCAGATGTGGAAGGCACATTTCCAAAGCCCCCGATAAAATTCTGCTGATGGAACATTTCTGTGTAAAAAGCCGTTTCGTCAAAGAAGTGCGTCCCTCCTAAGGCTTGCAAGCATTGGAACGGAGGCAGAGGCGCGAAAGGTCCCGAACAGTCAGGGGGCGTGATATTTTCCGATACCGAAGGCATCGTTCCTCCGGATGCCCTAAGAGACCTTCACTTTTCACCACTGGGGGAAACTTCCGGCCTTCGACTCACCTCCTTTGATTGCCTAGGCCATTATCTGCTGAACTGGCCAAATCCAGCAGGAACATGGCGTTGTTCTTCATCGTAATGTGATGTTCGCCCGACGAGGGTAACGAACGCATCGAAACGGGTTTCCGGTGGAAGAGGGTTTTGGCTTTCGAAGAAGGCTGCTGCTTATTGCCTCTGATGTTTTTCATGTATTTTTCACGGCATTGCTCGCATAGGAGGTACCAGGAGCTTCCAGCTGAAATAGTCAACAGATTTCAAGAGTCATTTGCCGTTCATTTTAACTTAGGCTTAGGCATAATAAGGGTTGAGGGTATACTTACGAACACCGCCATCGCCACAATTGCCTGCCCATCCAAGGCAATAGTTGCCCCCCGAGTTGAATCCCTTGCCCCCAGCATGTTGGCCACATCCAGGATGTTCTTGGTGCATGTGGTAAGTCACAGGATGGGGAAACGAGTCCCCACATAGTTCGCATAGAGTGTCCCCATTCCCCGAGTGCAAGTAGGACGTAAGTCCTATATCTTCTGAGGGCCCAAATGGGAGTTCAACATGCGGAAAGATAGCAGAAAACATTTGCAGTTCTTACCCAGGTAGTTCCTTGGCGGCACCTTTTTCTTCTTGCTCCTCTTGCTCTCCTTCTCGATGCTGTTGTTCTTCATCTTCGCGTCCAGCTTCTCCAGCCGCTCACCCTTGTCCTTATTGGGACTGGTTGCCTGGCAAATTCAAAAATCAGTTTCAGGTCTGTTCAACTTGAGCACTCACTTGGTCATTCATCTGCTGCAAGCAATTGCTGGTCAGTTCTTCCCACAGGAAGACCAGGCTCTTAAGGGCAGGGGGCAGCACCGATATGGTCTGGTAAGTGTAGCCCGGATCGCCTGTTTCTTCCTTTATCATCTCGTCGGTTATTTTCCGGGATCGGTTGCGATTGGCGCTCGCATTGGCTGCTGATCGCGTTAACGATTCCAGAGTGGAGGGCTGGATGTGCAGGTAGTTGCCAGCATTGCTCACCTTGGAGGAGCGAGAGGTAACAAACACTCAACACCCCCATCTAAATCCTACCTCAACAGAGTGTCTTTGTCTAGCGCGTTCCTCTTTAGTCAGCTCCTTTCGCCTCCTCTCTAGGGGAGTTTCTTGATGGCGCGTGATCACTTGAGCGCCCTTCTTGGGGAGAGTGGGATGGAACTTTAGGAACGAGGCACATGCCATTGCGTCATGGACAACTCCCTTTTGAGCAAAACCCGAATTGATTGTCCGGTAAACTGGCATTGAAAACTTTTCATACCTCGTGCCACACGAAGGCAGCAAACACGGCCCTCAAAGCCTCGGCAACCGAAGGACTCATTGCCTCCTTCACAGGCTTAGCCTGGTAGTGAACCTTGGGCGCAGCTGGCAGTTGGGACATATTGGCAGGGGAAATCGCCCTCTTGGGGCGACTCTTGGTGGTCGCCCTATCCTTGCGCAGCAACTTGGGGGACAGTTTCTCCTCTTTGCTTCCACTCCCTATAGAAAAGTGCGATTTCACTGGGGGATTAACGGCGGCCTCCGGGGACGTCTGGGTGCCTGTTTGCGTCAGTTGCTTGCCCACTGCCTCTCCATTCTATTCACAATTGATCCAGCTAGTTGCTGATTGGCTGTTTTGGGTTTGACCTACCGGGGCGTCCCTTTTCATTGGGCCTGGGCTGGTAGGACTGGGCGTTAAGCCTCTGGGCTGAGTTGATTGGCTGGGCGATTGCGACTGGGATAAGTCCCTGGTCAGGCTGCTAATCAGTGCGCTGGTATCGGACTGGTTTGAGCCTCGCCTGGCTGCGTCTTGGCCTGCGGCGGCTAAAGGAGGACTTCGACTTAGAGAAGGGGTTGGCTGAGTGGGAATTCTCACCTAGTGGAGAGACGCCGATGCTTCGCGAAGATCCGTACAATGGCGGGCTGCAGCCAGCACTCTCTAGGGGAAAAACGCGACCTGAAACTGCTGAGTTAGTAGAGTGTGATAGTGGGGGATCATCCACCCTACTCGCTGGGGCAATGGGGCTGGAACTTCTGCTCATAGGCTTTGGGGAGAAAGTGCTCGGCATGGGACTGTGGGATCTCTTGGGAGTATCAGGCGGCGTTCCGTTGCCATTTGAGCCCAGTTCCGGTAGCGGCTTGGGGGAAATATCCGAAAAACCCTCATTTCTGAAACAACGACTGTATGGATCAGCAATGATGGGGTGTGGGTGCTTACGCTTGTCCATCGCTTCTAGTCAGCTTGGGCCGAAACTTGGACTTGCTGTTCTTCCGCTCCCGTTTGGGGACTTTGGGGGGGTCGCCCTCCAGGCTCTCCCCGAAGACGAAGGGGTTGGACGAGCACATTTCGTCGGAATGGCATTTCATCGTCGACGAACTGCTCTGGCAGGAGAATGTGAAATCGGCCCCATTCGGCTTTGGGTAATTGAATTGGAATCCCTGCTTCAGGGTGTCGTTTGATAGCTTACAGAGTGAAGATGGTTAGTGTTATAATTTATTGGGTTTTGTTTTATTTATTTGATAATTAGCACACGATGGGATGGTTTGGGGACAACTTTGCGATACCTTTGCATTGTCCGGTTCGCTCACATTGTCCAAGTAAAGAACGTTGTTGGACCCGACCGCCAAAGACCAGGCTTCACCATCTATGTTAGAACAGTACTTATCACGTGTGGCTTTATCCAGCAGAACCCAGCAGCCTAAAATATGCTTTCCTTTGGGCAAATATTAAATAGTTAGTGAAGGAATACCTTCCGAGTTAACAATGTACTCGCTGACTCCAATGCGATTGCCCAACACCAACATACCGACAGGAGGAGCCTTCAGGCTCGCCCTGCTCCTCACATTATGGCCAGAAGCTCCGCACTTGATAACCTTTGGGGAAAGGGGGCTTAAATCGAGCTTGTCGGTTTGCTTCGCAAACCGCTTACCTTGTAACAGTTCTGTGAGCCTTTGGACTTATCCTGGATTTCCGGCAGCTTTCGCATAATGGTATCGGTAATCACCTGTTCCAGTATGCTCTTCGGTTCTTCCACCGGTAGAAGAAGCGTTTTGCCCAAATGCTGGTTGTATTGAAGGCACCACGCCTCGATTATGTGCGATTCGCAATACTGGCGAATTGTGTCCGCTGATAGTCGAAGCCAAACGCCATCATCGTTGTGGATCTTTTTTTTGGGTAAAGGGGAAGATTGGTTTAAGCAAAGAGGGTCTGGTTGAAACTCACCTCGTCTATGAACACGATGGTTTCGTTTACATGAACAATGCCAATTTGCTCGCTTTGTAAGGAGGGATGCGCCCTCACTCTCAGTCCAGCGGAGTTTTTAGCGATGAACTTCCGCACTTTGCTGGGCTGGTTGCTGGACTGTTTGCTAGTGTTTTGATTGGGAGGAATCATCCCTTGTGGGGGCTCTTTTACCTGTTTGGGAGCATTCAACATTTTTAGAGCAGTTTTGCCAGGTTGTTGTCTATTGGTTGGGAGAATGCCAAGTTTCTGATTACTCCAGATGGAAAGAAGAGTTTTGTTCAAATCAAACAAAAAAGTCCCCGATAAGTCCGAGTTTACAACATCGGTGAAAGTCAGGGCTTTCTGCAATCTGAATGAAATCCTGTGGGTATTTAGAACCAGGGTTCTTCTCTTCGTTCTGAGAATTTCAAGTGTCTGGTTGCTCCAGGTTAGAAAGTATGAATTTTTAACGAACAAGTTGCATTTGTTTGAAAAGATTGACTTTTGCACATGCATTTGGAAACGCCGAAAATTATCAAAATTTGGTCGGATTTCAATGGAAGCTTTACTGATTTTCGTAGTCCGTATGCTCCGCAGGCCAAAAAAGCTTCACAATGGGTGCTTCTTGCTCCAGATTGATATTTGGGAATTTTTCATGCCGAGAGTGCGATTGTCTCAAAAAGTCCACTTTACGTCAACATTTATAACATCAGCAAAAATCAGGGTTTGCCGCAACCTGAATAATATTCTCCGGGTATTTAGAACCAGACATCTGCTATTGGTTCTGAAAATTTCAACTTCCTGATGTGTCTCTATTGGAAGGTATAAATACATTAAAAAACTTGCAGTTTTTTGAAAATGTGGACTTTTGCACCTGCAATTGCAAAGGCAAAAAAAATAAAAAATGGTTGTAATTCGTCGGAAAATTTCACTGATTTCATTAGCCAGTATTTTCTAGCAACCAAAAAAGGTTTTTAATGGGCGATTCTTGCTGTAGAATGATATTTGGGAATTTTTAAAGCAGAGAGTGCAGTAACATATAAATTTTGACGTTTGCCTTTGCATTTGAAAGTTAAAAAAAAAGACCTGGAGTTATTGGACTGAAATTGTCACTGATTTTAGTAGCCAGGTCACTTCCACAGATGAAAAAAAATCGCAAGGGGTGCTACTTGCTCCAAATTAATATTTGCGAATTTTTCAAGCAGAGAGTGCGATTCTGCGAAAAAATCACTTTAAACCAAAATTTTCAACATCAGCAACAATCCGAGCTGCAACAGCAACCTGAATATTATTCTCCGCGTATTTAGAACCAGATATATTCTATTAGTTCCGAGAATATCTGGCTCTTGATGGCTCCAGACTCGAAGATAGGAATGTTCCAAGAAGAGCTTGCAGTTGTACCAAACATACATATTCCTCAACTTTTTTTGTACTGAGAGTGCAATAACCGCCTTCTGTACCTCAACTTTGAAGGTTTCTTCCATCTCGTAGCCATCAATATTGACTAGAATAGAATAGCAGCCTACAGAGGCCGGAGTCCAAGTGGCGCTGTACGTTCCATCCACATTAGCTCTCACCAACATGGTTTCACTCGATCGTTTTATTTGCGGCGACGTAAACCTGCAAAGGTGGGCATGTGGGGGCTCCCAAGCAGGAATTTTGAGCCTCCTACCTCAACTCCTCAAAGGAGTAGTTATGAAATGGCTTCATAACCGTGATGGAGTGAAACCGCATCTTGTCCCTAATGGTTGGCTCGTAGGTCTGATGTAGAGGAGGAGGCGGCACGCCTCCCAATGCCGCATGATCCGGCTGGCTAACTCTTCGAATTTTCCTTCCAGCATCGCAGTCACCCAGCTCTTTTTTATCTATTGGAATGGCTTTCACTTCCACCTGCAAACCGTTACTCGCTCTTCTTCTCTTCTAACTAGCGAAGCTATAAATACCTTCATATTGGGCACGTAAACAGCTTCACCATACTGATCTCTGGTCAGCACTGTCACAATAGCTGGCCAACCTTGGCGCAGATCATCTTTGCCGCAAACGACTCTGCATAGAGAGGGTTCGGCTCGACTTCCAGGCTGGAGCCATTGGGCGAGGCGACCTCCACTGGATCCTGCCACACATCCCACCAAATCCCGCAGGAACAGACGCTCATTCGAATGGGCACTAAAAATAAGAAAGCTTCCTCTGTAACTTGCCAAGTGAGTAAGTCAATATCGAGTACATTTTTTAAGCAAGAAACTCTTCTATAAGTGAAGGAAGCTTCGATTTTCAGACATCCTCAGAGAATTTTTCACAATGTTGCAATGGTGGGGTTGCTTTTGCACGTCGGCATTTGGCATTTATTTACTAGAGAACCGGCAAAGTCTAAAGACTGCTTTTGTGTGTGTTTCCTAGTCCAAACTCGGTTCTACCAGTGTAAAAAATTCGATTTTCAATCATCATCAGGAAGTTTTCTAGAATTTTTCAAAGTTCCATGTGGTGGTTATCGAGGATTTAAAAATTGCGTAATTTCTTAAATTTTCTTTGTTTATTTTTTGGCGATGTGGAACCCAATTCTGACGTGTGAAATTTTTCAGTCTTCGATTTTTTCTCAATATATTTCCGGTTTTTCGCAGTTAAATGTATTTTTCTTTTAAAACACGAGGAAAAATGTTTACAAAACTGTACCTTTCTATTGAGTTGAATTAAGTATTATAAACAAAACTGCAGAATAGGTTTTCCGGATATGAAATCCATTTACTAATTACCTACTAATTATAATATAATAAAGCAAGTCAACTTTATTTTTAAGAAGAAATATTGCGCATTTTTTTGCAAGTGATGTTTATTGATTCCTTGGGAGCAACAAGGTTTAAAGCTTCAGGGAAACTTGCCTAAAATGAGTCGATTATATCGGATCTCAAGCCTCCAGTGTGTTTTTCCATGAGTTTGTTGAATTTCTCGTTTCCTTAGGTGAAAATGATGAACGAAATCCCTTTAGGCATATTTCGGTGCAAATTTTCCTAACTGGATAAATTTGTATTCATCGATCTTTAGCTCTGCATTGAAGCTTTTCGGACAATCAACCTCAACAACCCAAGCGCGCTTCGCTCAACAGCATTATCATATTTCCGGTAAAAATTATTGAAAATCCCATTAAAACCATCAGCTTTGATAATAAATTAGTTTCATTGTTTGATGTTCCTCCGCCCAATTTACACAAAGCGATAAAAGCCAATATTCTCCTATAATTTCGAACCACCCAAAGACAATAAAACTATGCTGTGACTCAAAATATGTGATGTTTCCAAACGTACGATTGTTATTAAAAGTAAAAATAGACACCGAAAGGTCAGTTTATCTGCCAGCTACGGGTTATCACAGCCAGACTATCAGTTCTGTTGATTGGAAATGTAAATAACAGAGACTAACTAAGGCTGGTTTCAATAAATCAAAAGCTTTTGAATAAGGGTGAGAATTACGCCTATTTTACTTCATTCAGTGTTAGCTGGCAAGACGATGGGAAAATCACGTTCTATTTTTACTTGTCTAAACACAGACAAGGCCTTTGGTGCTGCTGTTTTACAGATTTCCAGATATTCTCTTCAAGGGGTCTTCGTCAGGGAAAAGCCAAGCAAAGAGGGTTCAGAAAACAAGTCGAAACGCGCAAAATGCAATTTTTGCTCTATCATAAAGCGGACAGAATGATTCGCAATGGTCACAACTTAACAAAGAAGACCCAGCTGTAGTCGGTACCTATAAAAGTACCCCGAAGAACCGCGATACGGAGCGAGACAGAACGGTTGGGGTATTGGGAAGTGTTAGTGATGGCAGCGGCGGCACCAATTCAACTTTTTCCGGCGAAAAAACCGCAAAATTACCGAAATTTGCAGATTATTAGAAGGATAAATGGACGATCTTTACTTGAATAGTTTGAGATGCAAACGTTTTGTCTATTAACTTCCTTGGAAGATGAAGAATTGGGAAGTTGAAGACGTTTAATTCGAGCTGGAAAATTTCCGAAGCAAACGAATCTTTCATCCACAGTCTTCTTATTGTTAGCAAGAGGAAAATCTAATTGACCGCTCATTCTCAACCCAAAAAAAATTAAAAATAGACTGCAATTTTTCGGTCTGCACTCCCCCGTATTTTTCTTATTCTGAGAATGCCGCAAGTTCTATAAGATTCTGTTTGAACTAACGCGAGAAATTCAACCAATTCCTTAAAGGACACACGAAACCATTCTGGCTCTCTACAAGTAAAATAATGGAAAAATTTCCAATCTTTCTGCCTTGAGGCACTCATTTCTCCCCTGTTCTTGCACAATATGCCACCACTTCTATATCATTCTGTTCGGCAAACCCCAAGAAAACTAACAAATTCTTCCTAGAAGTGGACAAAACCACATTTTATGATCCTTCAGTGTTCAACTACCCATTTCAACTTTATTCTTGATGAAAATGACATAAATTCTATATCATTTTTCGTTCATTCATCATTTACATTTTGTAAAAATTGAGGTTGTCACCATCGACATCTTCCTTATTGCCGCTCAAAATGCTGCAAATTCTATATGAATCTGTTGCCGTTGGAAAATAACAAACTTTTTCAAGGACTCACAAAACGCTTCTGATCCGATGAAGTGAAAAGTTTAGCAAATGTTTCGATTTTTCAGCTTCAGGCACCCACATCTCCTTTATTCTTGCTCACAGCGCCATCTATTCTCTATTCTCTCTCTAAACTGACTGAATTTTTTGCATTTGCGCCCAAAATGGCACAAATTCTATATCATTCTGTGTCAAGGAAAGCAACAAATTTTTCAAAAGGCAACCAAATCATTCGGCTTTTGTAGAACTGAATTTTGTTCAAGGCTTCAACTGATCGAATCGTCGTTAATCTCGTCTAGAATCAGATAAATTCAACATCATTCTGTCTAACAGGAAGTAAGGAACTAACTCATCAAAGTAAAAAAATAGAAAATTAAGTGATTTTTTGGGTTTTACTGTCTGCAGTTGACTTATTCTCGTTCAAAATACCTCAAATTATATATGATTCTATTCAACAGAACGCAAGGAAACCTACATCATTAGAGGACACGTCAAACCCTCCTGAACTGACAAAAAGGGAAAAATAGGAATTTTGTCATTGTTCAGTCCTTAACTATGTGCATCTTGTTTACTGTGTGAAATTCCATAAATTCTATCTCATTCTGTTCAACACCAATCGAGAAATCACTAACTAATCAAATAGTAGGTGAACCCTTCCTGGCGCTACTAAGTGAATAAGTTACAAATTTTCTAGTAGACCGCCTTTTCGTTATTCTCGCAAAAATTCTATATTATGCTATTTCAGAGGAAAATAGGAAACCGACGAACTCATAAAAGGGACACAAAACCCTTATGTCCCAGGGCCGTTAAATAATTTGACATATTATGTGATTTTTCTGTCTTTAGGCACCGTTTTTCGCTACTTGTTTCCTCAACTGACACAAATTCTGTATCATTCTATGAGGCCCAAAAAATTCATCAGACGACAGAAAAACCATTTTGCCCCTATGGGTGCAAGAAAAATGGTGCACTCTGTAAATTTTCTTTGGGTAAAGTCCTTAAGCGCCCACATTTTTCTTATTTTTGTGTGTGCAATCAAATCTGTATCATTCTGTTTGATAGAAAGTGAGAAATTCATCAAACTTATCAAGGAAGCAGCTAAACCCCATTCTGGCCCCATCGAAGTGAAAAAATGGAACGTTTTATGAATTGTCAGGTTCAAACCGGTTGTAAGTGTTAGTCTCACAAGGAATTCTATTCTATTCTGATGTAGTTTTTTCGTCTTAAACAGTCTCTATCTCCCTTATTTTGGCTTGGGATGTAAAAATTCTATATGATTCTCTCCGATAGCAAGCAAGGAAAGTAAAGAACCGAGAACAGACACACCAAAACACTGTAACTCAATGAAAGTGAAAAACTTGCTCATTTTATGGTTCTTTAGTCCTTAGCAGTCTGTCTGTTCCGTATTCTCAATCCAAATGCGACAAATTCTATATCATTCTATCCGACAGAAAGCAACGAAACCTACCATCATCAAATGACAAACGAAAGCATTCTGATCCTACGGACGTAACAAACAGAAAATTGTGCGATTTCTTTGTTTTAAACCACGGTGAGTCCTCTATTCTGGCTGGAAATGCGAAACAATTCTATATCATTCTGTTCAACAGAAAGCAGAGAAGCTAAGGCACAGACAAGTAAGAAAGCGGTAGTTTTGTGATTCTTCTCTCTTCAGCTGGTGGAATCTTCCCGATTCTGGCTCAAAATTCAAAAAATTCTACATTCTGTTCAGGAAAAAGCGGCGAAACCGTGAAAGCGGTGAGAACGAGTAAAAATTGCAGCGCGATTAGAGGATTTTCATTCATAAATCGCCCATTTTTTTACCCAAAATTTCTTCGGGAAGGGGGGACTTTGTCTTATTTTCCCACCTCAAAACTAAGCTTATTTTCTGGTACGCCACTGCATAAAGCACAACCATCCGGGCGGACAGAAATCCAGCCATCGTTTTCTGAACCGAAACAGTCAAACAGCATCAGTCAGATCGTGAAACGTTCAGGCGCATCGCGTACTAGCAGTCGAGCACTGGCCGTACTTCGCCGCCCTGATGATGACCGGTTGATACGAAACGTCGCACGGATAAGACAATGATCGGATGGTGCCGTTCTGTGCGATGAGTGAATGCAAGCGCAAAAATAATGAAGAGTGCGGAAAGATTGTTACTAGTGCTGATACCGGGCGTTCTGGTGATCGCCGGTGTCTTTTTGGGGATGGCGATGGCGCAAAAAGGATACACCATCTGTGACGTGCAGGGGTGCAACTGCACAGTCCCAGCGGGGGGGTGGAAAAACGTTAATTGTTATCTGTTGGATGACCAGGTGAGGAATATTTTCTTCGTCCAAGTCTCTCTAACTCTATCCAAATGAATTGATCATGAACGGTCATCAGGGTTGATGATGATCAAATTATGAACACAAAACTTCTGTACTTCCCCAACTTCCCCAAACTTACACTATCTTCAATAAGACAGAAAAGGAAGTAAACTAACTTTCCTTGTCTAGCGTGCACGAGCGGAACAAGGCAGCTTATTAGATGTGCGCTTTGAAAAGAGACAAACTTAATCTCTGTTGACCCTTAGACCGCTAAATCAGTTGATTTTATAAATTTCAACTGTGAAAGAATCCGATATGCACATCTGCTTCTATAAATTAGCTGAATTCCAGGTAATTTTCCTGCATATCAAGCGGTTATAATTAAATCTCAGGGTATCGGGTAACAGGCATGTTTACTGTACAACTGCATAGAACAAGCGCATATCAATTTGCACTTTTGAAGCCTTCCGTCCTGGTTTATACCAAATAGTCAACCAAAGTTACTGGCTTTATTTTAGTTTAGAATCGACCAGAAAATTACGAAGTAGATAATAAAAAATCCTCTAAACAGCGTCGAAGGTTTAGTGAAAGTCGCACTTAACACATGGAGCCAACAGTATTTTCCGCATGCTTAATATTAAATGAGTGGCTTGCCTTGGATTTACACCATTTCACGCACACTGTTTGTCGACAATTTGCAGATAAACAACAATTTGCTAATGTATGGAACGTTTAAAACGGGAAAATTGCCAGTTGCCGTCTAGATAATGTCTTTTTAGTTGAAGCTGGTTGAAGATCTTTTATTTTTCCCTGCGCGTCTTACTTTGGCCGAAAACGCTTTTTAGATGAGATTTTATCCTAACCTCTAAAGCGATAGAAGCAATTGTGCAAAAATGCAACACCTTTTGAAAATTTGAAAAAAAATTGAAAAACCGTCCAACTTTCCAGGCGTAAAACTCCAAAACGGTTGAAAAAAATTTAATAATCCTTAGAACCTTTTTGGTAGAACGCCTAGAGAGCTTTAATGCTGCTTTTAATTGACTTTAGTCAAAAATTACTAACCTCGAAAAAAATGAAACGAATCAAAAAACCAAATTTCTGCAGAAACGTTGAAATTTAAGAGCGTATAACTGGAAAACTGTTGAAGTTATCGGAAAATTTGTAATAAACTTTTCAATAGAGCGTTCTGGAAACAGTCTTCGTGGCAGTAGATTTTATAAAAAATCCTAACCTCTATAAAGTTAGAAGCAAAAATATCAAAATTTAAGGGACCGTCGAACTTTAAAAGCGGATAATTTCGAAATCGATCAAAATGTATAAATAATCAGTAGGGCCTTTTTGGTAGAGCGTCTAGAGAGCTTTAAGTTCCTCCATAATTGGGCATTGTCAGAAATTCCTAACCTCGAAAGAAAAACAAACGAATAAAAAAAACTTCTAAAGAAACGTTGAAGTTTCAGAGCGTATAACTTTGTATCGATTGAAAATATCTGAACATTCATTGGAGTCGTTTCGATCAAGCATTTAAAGAACTTTGAGCTTGAGTCATTCTAACCTTACAAATTGTTAGGAGCAAAAATATCAAAATTTATGGTACCGTCGGACTTTAAGCGAGTATAACTCAGAAACGATTAAAAATATCCAAAAAATTATTTGAACCATTTCGATAGAGCGTCTAAAGAACGTTGAGTGTGTTTTTAGATTTTTCGAAAATTCCTAACATTCAAAGAAATAGAGGCAAATTTTTCACAGTGGCTTTGAAAAACGTCGCGACGGCAAAATTCGTAAGATTCACATTAATTAAGCGTTTTGTGCTAGTAATTTTAATAGTAGCAAATGTACAACGTTGCCATGTGTCTCAAATCATCCATAAAAGGTATACATTTTGAGAGAATGGCTGAGTACATTGCGTTAATACAGCAATTACACCTGAAGAAGTTGTGAAGAAACTTTTTTGCAAAATTATCCTCAACAACCACACCATCCGATAATTATTCTAGAGGCTCCCGGCTGTAAAATGTTTACAGACTTTTCTACATTAATCAAACGTTTCGGTCGCAATTGAAGCAGTAATTTTCAAAATCCCACTTTATATCCTTATTAAGCAAGCTATTATTTAGAAAGTGTTTTTCGCTGTAATTTACTGTTGTTTCGGAAATAACTCATCGGAGCCGACGATAGTAAAAAAATGAAGACACCGATTTCGTTTTGTCCGCTTTATAGATTGACACAAAAAAGCTCGTCCGATCAATGAACGAAACTTAATTAATCCCGATTAAATTTCAGCCGCTTTCATTGCACCATCAAGCCCATAACAGTGCGTAAATAATTGAAGTTTCAAAAGGCTAAATTGATGAAATCACCTAATTGATCCAGACAGTTAGAGATAATTAACCGGCCAACCTGTGAGCAGTATTTAGTCAAAATCTTCCCAAAAATAATCGCTCAAAACGAAACGCTTCCGCCTAGTGAATCACTATTTAGTTAAACTCATAAATCCCATCTAATAATGATTTTAATATCAAAACATTTATGTTCCAAATTTGACGTCGGTTCAGAGCTGGAAGCGTGTTTGTTTATGTTTCGTTCAAATTAAAAACGCCCAAACATTGGCAAGTATCAAACGAGACCCGAAAGCTCTAAAAGCGCTCTTGTATATTTAGAATGCCAAGGCTCCTTCCCACATGCATAAAGTAACATCGATAGAAAATGATTCGGATGATGATTTACCACCCTTCCTTCATATGCTTAGTATTCATCGCAGCGGGTTCTGGGCGATATAAGAATATTTTTGGGGCTAAAAAATGCGGGTGTTGAAACCCTAAACGTGCGTCTGTTTATGAATGATGAAATTAAGCAACTTCCTGCGCTTTCATTGTTTAGACGTGGCATTCTTTTCGTTTTTTCCTTGAACTTGGCTTGTTCTACAGCCACGCTTTGGAGGAGACAACTTCACACTTCTTTACTCGCAATTCTCGCGTAAGGAGTATTTATATTTCCGTTATTATTAGAACTGCCTGCATACAAATATAATGTGAACGCACTGCTCAAGGCAGCCAGTTTATCGCCGTTTTGGTGGCGTTTTATCTGAAAAATTATTATTCAATTGCAACAGCCCACTAAACAAAGCTTATTACGCAGTTTCCTCGGAGAGATCAACAGAATAATCATCCAGCGAGTAGATTTGACTAGACACTCCTCAGCTATTGTTGGAGATCAATGGACCGCAAGATACTTAGAATGTGTCACAGTTATTGTTAGTGATAATAAGCCGACAAAAATAGACCTGAACAGCCGCGACTTTCACTGATAAGGTCACTGAAAATTCGACAATTTCCCATGAAGGTGCCGGCTTAATGGGGGTTTATTTTTAAATAACTACAGCATCCGGTTGCTGTTCAATGCGTTGAAATATGAGTCATAAATCTACGATAGACTCAGTAGCCATGCGCTCGCAAAGAGAAGCATTTGTAATTCGAATGTACCTAATTAAATAAAATTTTGGTATTTTATCACTGTGTGTAAGTTTAGAGGTTGATTGTAAACTGTATGATTCCTCCGAGATGTGTACAGTTTTATTAAATATTTCACTCTTTCAAACTATTTGTGGACTTTTCTGCGATTTATGCCCATTTCCTAATAGATTTTCAATGAACATCACGTACAATTAAAGTTATTTTTCAGTGGGTTTTCCAAGAATCCAAGTTTCGAACTTTTTAAAGAGATTTTTCGCCGCTTAAGCGGACAAATAATTTTTGGAATAAGAAAAATTTACTGCTTTCGGCAGGACTTGAACCTGTCAAGTTCGAACTTGCCAGGTTCAAGTCCTGCCGAAAGCAGTAAATTTTTCTTATTCCAAAAATTATTTGTCCGCTTAAGCGGCGAAAAATCCCTTTCGTTTTCTGGAACTTCGATCTTCAATTCAGCTTTGTTGGCCGAATGAGTGCATTAGAGAGACCCAAAGCTGCCGGAAATCATTAATAATTCAGTGCAGATTACAGTCACAGTATGCGCCTACAAAACGCTTTAATAGTTACTGTAAAACGCATTTGCCGGTTTGCCTTAATAATAATTAATCCACGGTTGAATAGCGATTGTCCTTCATTTATAAGCATGCTCCTTTACGGGTAGATCAGTCCGAAACTGGCTGACTGGTTTAAACATGTGTAAGTGCTCGGTTCAATCGAAATCAATGCGACATAATTAACCAAATTCCTAAACTGGTGCAACTGATACGCTATTAAATGCAGGGGGTCGATGCAAGAGGCTCGGATTACACGACTGGAGGAGTTTCAATAGTGTCTGCACTGTTTCAACGTTTTTATTTGTTAAAATCGGGAGTCGCGACAGCGGTTGGAAAACCCTTGAGGGTGATAAATAACCCTGCGGAAAGATGCATTTGGTTAATGAGGACGAATGCAGTCTATTTTCACTTCAGTTGCTCTGAAAGACGCAGTCCTTGTTAAAGGAGTTTTCGTTAAAACTTCAAAGTTCCTGCAGAATTCGAATTGCTATTTTACTTTCTCGTGAAATGATCTGCAATGATTTGACTGCAAACGCCAAATTTTGCAGGTTCAGTGTGCGCATCAACTTGAGAACTGTCTGCGCATCGCAACGTTGCTAATTGAAAGAAATCAATGCACGTATCGACTGTACGCAAAAGACTTATTAGAACCATTTACTACGGACTTATCTGCTAAGAAAGAGCAGAGTGGGAGAGAGAGCTGGCTAGTGTGGGCTATTTGTTGGCTAATTCCACTGCTACTCTAAACGTGTTTTCCATCAGCGTTTTACAATTTAACTAATTTCGTGTTCAATCACTGATAATAAAACATATTTTAATGCACTTACAATTTATCTTAATTTTATACAATTTTTCACGAAACGATCGAGTTGGGAAGCAAAGGTTTCCTAATGTAATTCAGACAGTCCAACCCACATTAGCTTGGTCTTTCATCGTTTGTTTGGGAAGAAGAAACCGACATTTTCAACAAATCATCTGCAACTGA